TGTGATCAGAGACACAGTACTTCATAAAGCCCAAAATACAATGAAAATATGGGTTCTCTTATTTTAACATAAGAATTCCAGACAGGCTCTGTGTAGCTGTATGAGTTATACATCAGTTTAGTAGACCTACATAACTACAACCCAATATTGCTAATAGGGAATCCCTAGTCTATCCAATGACAAATAATTCTTTTTCCTAACCATATACCTGTTCAAATAATACAGTAAGATATCCAGGCAGGAGACTTTACCAGTATGTTTGTCTCGGGTTACCTGTGTTGCCAAATGGGAACTCCCTTCTAGATCTGCCATAGTCTGGAGCTCAGTTGCTCACTTCCCTTGCCTGTACCACTCTAGTTGTCAGCTGAAGTACTGGCTGGTCATGGGTAGCTGTCTCTTCCTGCTTTTGGGCCTGATTTTAGAGGTACCAAACTAATCAGTATTACAACAGCATATGGATGCAAATATTTATGGGTTTTGCTTATTTAAATTTTTCTTCATTTTCTTCTCTCTCTTTTAAAAATAATCACAGTCTCACTTTCAAAGTAATGGTGTGAACTGAGAAACTCCAACCCTCTCATTTTCTGTTGCTGATGATAACAGGGATGTAAATTGCAAGATGTGCAGTTATACCTAAAAATGCTAGCTGTCTTTTAATGAAGAGAAAAGCTCATTCCTGATAAAAATAGATGGTATGCTGCGCTTTGTTGTTGGACCTAACACAGTATGTGTACCTCCAAATGTCATTTTAAAATGTTAAAAACAGCTGCAAAAATTACATCCTTTTATAGTTTCCCTTTTAATTATAACTTTTGGGAAATTAGCATTTGGGGCCATGATAATCCCAGTAATGTAAGATAGTGAATTGTACTTGCTTAAAAATGTAGCCACATTTACATACAATTATACTTGATACACTGTCTAGATACTGACAGTCTCACACTTGTATTTTACAGTCTATTGTGGTACACTAACTGAAGTAATTATGGATTGTGGAAAGAAATGCATTTTAAAGTATGATTAGTAAATATGTTCTATTTAACAGAAGTTATATGCTATCCACAGCAGTTCTTGTCCCCTCATGTTGTAGCAAGATCCCTGACTCATGATGCTCTTCTCATGTTGTTGGTGACCTTACTTCAGTTAAGAGTTAGCACCAAATGAGTGTTGTTGAGTTTAAATTTTAGTCTTTTCTAGAAATAGGGACTGTTATCTAATTATTATTTAGAAAATGGCTAAGATCTAGAAATAAGTCATTAAAAAGACATTTGTCCTCTTAAGAACTAAAAATAGGGATCTTCCTAATCAATAGATGCTGCTCTTCTGAAGGGCCAAAAGCTGTGGCCTCCAACATCTGAGGTTGATAGCTGTTGCTGCAGATCAAGTGTTTAATCTCAATCCTACTCAAATATTCTAAACTGAAGATGTCTCCCGTGGAAGAACTGATTTCATGAGCCCACAGACCCTTATGTCCTCCTCCCAGATGCTTGAAGATCTCAAGTCCTCTGCCTATTGAAGCACTTCTCATCCGCTCATCTCACAGCACTTGCCCATGCCCACTCATCATCTCTCCTTGCTGTTCTCATCCGCCCTTCCACATGTCTCTTCTGAAGCCTCGGCAACTATCTGAGCACTACTGGTGTCTTTAGTGATTCAGGGTGAACGACTTACCCTGCTGTCCTATTGGGTGGTACCCACTTTGTCAGCATAGAGACCTCTTTGATTTTTCTACTTTATCTTGTAGGCTCCATTTTGGCTTCATTTCTTTTCCTGTTCAGTATCTAATTCAGTCCTTAGATTAATACTTGAATTTTTGTCTTCCCATGTCTTCAATTGAACTTTTTCCTGTGCTCTTAGTAGCTGTTTCCTGTATTTAATCAGGCATCTCTGTTCAGTGCTGCCAACAAACAAACAAACACTATGTCAGCCTGAAGATTGGGCCTCTGAAATTAGCAATCCCAAAGCTTGAGTGATGCTCAGTGAGACTGTCCCCCTCATTTTCTTTATCAGTTCTCTCCTACTATTTATTTGGTTTTGGGTTTGGCTTAGAAACAGGGTCTAACTCTATAGCCCAGTCTGGCTTCTCTTGCCTCAGTCTCTCTGTTGCTACTATGGCACACATGAACCACCATATACAATTCCCTTGCCCATTTGGCCCTTTCTCCTCTTACAAATAATATCCCTGAAAATTATGCCTCTTGGTCTCTTTGCTCTTGACATAGTGTCTTGCTTCTGCCCTCAGAGAGAAGCAGCAAGGCTGAGAACAGCACCCATACTTCCCTTCAGCATCTTGACACTTGTCTCCTGGCTTCTTAGTTCACTTCCTTCCCAGCTAGTCTTCCAAACACCAGGAAGGTGTGTTCATCTGAAGTTTGAAGACTTTAGCAAACTGAAAAGACTTTTTGGAATATGGTTCCTGATAGCCCTCCTGAAACGCATGCCTTGCCATGTCATTTGTGGGAAGCTAAAATCTGGTTTTAATAAGAATTTCTTAAGTTTTATGTTATACAAAAGAAAGAAAAACACAGACCTAGAATCAAGATATTTACTCCTGTGTCTGGCACACTGTTGCAGAAAAGAGAGGAGCTATATAATGTGGGGTGATAATGCTTAGGGTCTGCCCATGTCTGCTTGTGTACCTCATTTCCTAACACTGCATTCACTTAACATTTGAAGCTACTGCTTCGGTAGAATGTAAAATCAAATATTATCACTTGTATTTTGTGATCTCCTTGTCACCACACAACTGCTGAAGAAAAATTGTGGCTGATAATAAGTTTTGGAACCAAAGTTGGATTCTGATGCTCTCAATATACTAAGCTTCAGTTTCTAGCTTTGTGGCCTGAGGATGATAAATATGTCAGCTTCCTGTAATTAGAGGACTGGGTGGAGCACAGAGCCTAGGTGTTGGAAACCCATCCTAGAAGATGGGTTTTCATCCCAGTCCCTGGCTGCAGCTCTTAGAGCAGCCTGATACATACATGTGCTGTCAAAGCCATGGATACTTCTATGCATGGAGAACTGTATTACAGAAGATGAAAACAAAGATTAAAGGGGATTCTTTTAGGGAAATTTTTGCTCTCCAAAGTATTTTAACAAGTTTTACTGTGGAATAGGTAAATGTCTCTAGAAGGAATTAGCTATATGTTGAAGTCCAAAAGTGTTTACCAGGAGGTTGTGAAGATGATTCTGTGGGTAAAATACTTGCTACTTGTAATCTGAACCTGGATTCCCAGAACCCACATAAAAGCCAACACAGCAGCACATGTGTCTGTCAATGTGTCCCTACAGCGAAGTGGGAGGCAGAGACAGGAGCAGAGAATTCCCAGAAGCTCAAGGCCCATCTAATCTGACATATACATCAGTGAACAACAAGAGAGACGGTCTCAAACAAGGTGGGGGTGAGAACTGACCCCCTGACGTTATCCTCTGACTTCTACTTGTACCTATTGACACATATGTTCCTAAACACACACACACACACACACACACACACACACACACACACACGGAGGGGGATGAGAGAGAGAGAACACAACACTAGAAATATTTACTAGGAATGATTGTATCGTACCCATGTAATGCACAGCCAAATGGACTTGGCTCCATGGTTGCCAGTTACCCATCTTCATGACGGACCTCATGTGAACACCTGTGCTTCTACTAAGCTGCAAATTGTGTTCACTTGACATAGCGTAAATATCAACAGGAACAACTTGCAGTGAAGAGGTAAGCTCTCGTATTTTATATCACAAATCTGAATAAGGCTTACAAAATGAGTCAACAGAGGGTGTTTGGGAAGCTAATTGTTGTGGGTTCAAATGCTGGCTCCACCACATATTATCATTGTGACCTGGAACAAGTTCTGGAGACATACGAGTTTTGGGTTCCTTGTCTGTAACTTGGAGATCCAGTTTGCAGCCCTAATATTGTGGGAGGACAAAGGAGACAGCCTGTGCAGATCAGCATAACTGTTCCTTCCTCTCCACATTATTAGCCCAAATAAAGTGACAAGAGATCCCTTTGAAACATATCTCAGATCGTTGTAATAACATCTGTGTTGCCAGTTTGGATTTACACATGGTTCAAGGAAAATAGTTTATGGTTAATTGTTCCATAGTTCAGCTTTGCAGCACTATCTGCCAACTACAACAGAGAAATGTTTATATTCGAGCATTACAGTTCATAGTGTTCAGCTGAAAAAGCGAAACCTATTTCCTAATGTCAGGGAAATTGGTTTGTGTTGTCAGAATTTAAAAATTCCACATGACCCATTTTTTGTTATTTTGTTACAAGTGTGTGACTGTTTAGTTCGTAGACCCCACTGCCACCCAGAACATCTGAGCTTCTAAGTAGAATAATTATGATAAAGCACTAAAACAGGGCTTTGCTATGCATAGTAACTACTTGTGCTCAATAGTCACCGGCCCTATGACTGTCACAGAATGTGAAAAACGGCAAGCTAACTTTCTGGAGTGTTTGCTTCATGCACTTACTGGGAAATGTGATATTTGCAAAAAGATCATTAGATCTATGCATGACCGTTGTCTTTTAAGTACCTTACTGCTTTTCTCCTGGTGTTTTCCCTCCTTTGAATTGTTTTCTTAATGGATGTCTGTGCTCTCTCCCCTCTACCTCCCTGGCAGTCTTTTCCCTATAAAAGGACCCATCTGTCTAAGGTAGATTCTCCTTCTTACTTACTCATCAGTGACTAAGCTGCATGGAATAGACATGCTTAGCATTTAGAAGTTGTGTTTAATTCTGTTTTTTTAACTATAGTGATTTTTTTTTCAAATCAAATCTGTTCTGTTCAGTCTAAGTTCAAACATGTAAATTATATCTAATTTCTAATCATAGTAATAGAGCAAAGACTGTGTTTTAAACTTGCTAATCCATAGTAGTTAAAGTAATAGAAAAAATCTGTGCTCCAGTGTGTGATTCCATGTGCAGAGAGAAAAGCTCCTTCATGGAAGTAACTTATTTTCACTTGATTTTGTCAGACTTGAATTTGAGAGACAGCAGCGTGAAGAACTTGAAAAACTAGAAAGTAAAAGGTAAGCTGTGAGGCCCTCGAGTCAAGTGGCTTTCTGGACTGCTCTCTTAGTATCCTTCCAGAGTTCACCTCTTCTGTTTCCATGGTTCCCTCTAGCTCCGAGTCTGCTATTTACATATCTAATGCCTGTGGGTAGTTTCTTATAAGTGATTGAATTACGTCATCTTAAAAATTTCACAGCAGTTCATCTTCAAATATGTGTGAAAAAAAAAGGGTAATAGTCAGTAAATTAAACATCTGAGCTCTGTTGAAATTTATCCCCAAATCTTTCCTTACTATTCTTGGGTTCTTAAAAAGTAATGAGTATATAAAGATGAAAAATCAAAAGCATTTTCCTTTTGGACAACCCATCTCCAACTTCTTAATTAAAAAAATAAGATTTATTTATTTTACTTTAAGTATACACGTTTGCTTGAATGTATATGTATGTATGCACCATATGTTTGCTTAGTGCCCACAGAAGTCAGAACAGGGTACTTGGATCTCCTCAACCTGGAAGTGGCATTACAAATGTTTGTGAGCCCCCATGTGGGGTTTGTGAGCCCTGGTCCTCTGTGCTCTTTACTATGGAGCTAAGTTATCTCTCCTCCCCACCGTCTATCCATCCATGTGGGGCAGGGGAGGAAGAAAGAGAGAGCACAGTACTTCTCAGTCTTTAGGTACCAACTGCCTTGGGGGTTGAATGACCCTTTCAAAAGGGTCACTTAAGACCATCAGGAAACACAGATCTTAACATTACAATTCATAACAGTAGCAAAATTACAGTTATGAAGTAGCAATGAAATAATTTTATGGTGGGGATCACCGCAACAAGAGGGCCACGGCATTAGGAATATTGAGAACCGTCATAGACCAAGCTCTCCCTTCCAGCCTTTGATTTTTTTTTTTTTTTTGCTTTACTATAGGGTTTCAATATGTGACCTAGGCTGGCCCACTGCATCTGCCTGCCAAGTGCTGGGTTAACAAGCATACACCGCCACAACCAGCACCACTGTCCTTTGTAGAGCTATTGGTGTTTTCCCACCTGCGATTTGTTTTTCTTGTTCTTTGCTTGCTTTCATTGGGGCGTGTGTGTGTGTGTGTGTGTGTGTGTGTGTGTGTACATATATATGTATAGGTATGTATATACACATAAGTGTGATATATATGTATATATTGCTGCTTATTTGAGATATGTTCTAAAATATTCTTTAATTCAATCATAGTTTCTCTTTCCCCCTGTTGCATTTAACAAGTATTGAAGGAGGAGCCAAGGCCAGCGAGGATCTGAAGCATAGTTAGTATTTCTAGAATTGGGGGTTAAACTGCTCATGGGAATGAGTTTAGTGTCCACCATCATACAGAACAGGAGTTTGGGTGTCAGGGGATAGAGGTCAACTTTAAGCACTGTCATTTCATGCTCTTGCTTGGGAAGCCACTCCAACTCCCCAAGCTCTTCTAGTGCCAGGGAAGAATCAATTGTGCCTCTGTAGAAAACACAGCATGTGACCCCCATGTGTTCAAGTATCCTAACAGACTCCAGTTGTTTCCAATATTATAGGCTATTTTGATGAGTATAATTTGCTCTGGACCAGTGATTAAATGCTAAAGACCGTATTGGGTTCTCTTTTGAACTGAAACAATCTACTGTCCATTTTTTTTTGACTTTGTTATTCAATCCCAGTGCATTGAAGACAGCATTAAAAAAATTTACTTAATGTCATCTTGTTAGTGAATGTTAGTTTAGTCATTGGGCTGAATAAAACTAGGCACATTTAAATTTAAATTGGACATGGTGTTTTTCCCTTTGAGCTCAGTGGGATTTCTTAATTATACCATGCATAACACATGATTCTAGGGTTCACAAAGGAATGATACCAGAAGCTACTTCAGGAGACTAGGCAGACAACATACTGGACAGTAAATAAAATAAAATGAAAATGAAAATGAAATAGCATGCTTCTGAAAATGTGAAAGGAAAGCACTCCCTCTTCATTTGTTTTAATGAAAGGTTTGGCTTTATGTTGCCTGTGTGTTTTTGGAACAGTCCAGTTAGGGGAAAGTTGGACTGAAGCTGAGCATAGTGATCAAATAATGACCAGTTGGCATTTGCAATGCAGGAAACTCATCGAAGAGATGGAGGAAAAGCAGAAATCGGACAAGGCAGAGCTAGAGCGAATGCAGCAGGAGGTGGAGACCAGGCGCAAGGAAACAGAGATGGTACAGCGGCAGATCCGAAAACAAGAGGAAAGCCTCAAACGCCGCAGCTTCCACATTGAAAACAAGCTCAAGGACCTGCTGGCTGAGAAGGAAAGGTTTGAGGAAGAGAGGCTCCGGGAGCAGCAGGGACTAGAGCAACAGAGGAGGCAGGAGGAAGAGAGCTTCTCCCGCATCAGAGAGGAGCTTCGCAGGCTCCAAGAGCTCAACAGCCATGAGCAGGCCGAGAAGGTCCAAATATACCAGGAGCTGGACCGGCTGCACAGAGAACAAGATGCCCAAAGTGCCAAGCTGCAGCTGGAGAAAAGGAGGCTGGAAGAGCAAGAGAAGGAGCAGGTGCTGCTGGTGGCACACCTGGAGGAACAGCTGCGGGAGAGGCAGGAGACTGTTCCACTGCTGTGGCCTGGAGAGGTCCAGCGGGCCCAGGAGGAAAAGAGGGAACTAGAAGGCATCCAGGAAGCCCTCTTGCAGGCCAAAGAGGCTGGAGCACGAGAGAACCACACCTGTGGGGAGGAACTGGAAAGGGCTCAACTGTACTTCTTAGAGTTCAAGAGAAGGCAGCTTGTCAAGCTAGCAAACCTAGAGAAGGACATGGGCCAACAGAAAGACCTCCTAAGCAAAGCAGTCCAAGAAGAGCAGGAAGCCCTGGAGCGTGTAAGATGTGAAGCCCACAAGGAACCTAGCTTGTTCGTGATAGATAACAGTACCATCCCCTACCGGTCTGAAGATCTAGAGAAAATAAAGACTGCAGAGTCCAGGCTACAGAGCAAAGAGCGCCAGCTACGGGACCTTGTGCAAAATCATTTGCCAGCTCTGCTGGAAGAAAAGCAGAGAGCTCTTGACATCATTGACAGGGGTGCCCTGGGCCTAGAAAACACTCTCTACCAAGTAGAGAAAGAAATGGAAGAAAAAGAAGAGCTGATCACACAGTACCAGGCTAATGCTAGCCAGCTGCAGCAGCTCCAGGCCACCTTCGAGTTCACAGCTAATGTCGCCAGACAAGAAGAGAAGGTGAGAAAAAAGGAGAAGGAGATTCTGGAGTCCCAGGAGAAGCAGCAGAGAGAAGCATTGGAGCAGGCTGTGGCCAAGCTAGAGCAGAGGCACTCTGCCCTGCAGAGGCGCTCCACCCTGGACTTGGAGATCCAGGAGCAGAGGCCGAGACTTGGCTCTCTCCACAGCATGGAGAAGTCAGGGCTGTGGGCCAACCTGGACATCAAACAAGAGGCCCTTGAGAAGGACCCTGTACGGTAAGACTAAGGCAGAGGGAGTGAAACATAGGGTAGGCACTGAGCAATTTTCTGCCTCTTGTGGCTTCTCACTCTCTAGAGAAGTGATTATCATAGGCTTTATGCTCTCTAGTACATAGGCAAAAGGCTTTAAAAAACAAACAAAAAAACCCAAAAACTCAATCTAATAGAAGCACCCCTAAACATTTTTTGTTTGTTTTTCCATAAGATCCTTGTTTTAGAATCATTGACTTAAAGTTGAAAAAAGAACACAGGCAAAAGCAAAATCCTGGTCTTTCATCAAACTGACCCCTGGGGTGTGTGCTTGAATATTTTGACAAGTACAGGTGCTGGGAGAACTTCAACCTAGATCCCCACCCTTTAACTCCCTCTCATCCCTGCCCCACTCCTACCCCCCACCCCACCATGTTCCCTTCTTATCCATTTCCTTGCCTGCTCACCACCCCACTTCTTCCCCTCTCCCATGCCTGATCTTCTTCACCAGGATTTCACAACTTCTCTGTGAGTAGCACTGGCCACAGTGAAGTCCTGTCCCCAGAGTTCATGCATTGTTAATCCTGAGCTGGTTCCCACAAATTGAGAACTAAAATCAGGTAGATGCCCCACCCTTCAAGTCAGCATTTTAGAAAGAAAACTGGGAAACAAACACTCTTGACATGGTGAAGAAAGAATATTTATCTTTCTAGTCTATTGCCATGATCATTAGGGGTATACTCTGAAATAAGTAAATATAGGAAGCTAGGAGCTTCTTTTCTGGGAGCCTGCAGTCATTCTAAGACTCCCAGAGAGGTTAAAGGCTACCAGTGTGTGAACATAACCAGTTTGCAAAGTGGACCCATCCCCTGGTTGATTTGTCTCTTACTGCTTGGATGGCCTTGACCACTTAGGTCCTTTTTTCTTTTAGCTCCATACTCTGATCAGTTAAGTTATCAACACAAAGCAAAGCTCTTGCTCCAGAGGGATTAAGAGATAATTTACAGAGCCAATTCTGAGTGGCTACAGCCAGAGAACACAGATTTTACTTGTCCTGAGTGACATGGTTCACTCCAGAAGTGGTCACATGAGCTCTCCTAGAACAAATCAAAGTCATAAATCATGTGTTTATCAAATGTATTGGTGAGGACATCAGTTGATTCCACAGACTGGGAAAAAAAATCTCAACTGTGGGTTTTAGATGCTATCTGATGACATTATTCTAGCTATTGGATTGGTTGAGGCTAGGCATGTCAAGTTTAGGGACACATTCCAGGGATTTATCTTAAGTATCAAGAGGCTGTTGGCTCAGATTCACACATAACTGATAAATGACTGTTAATGAAAGTAAAAATTGCCCAAAATAAGTTTACTCTGTCTGTTCATAAAGATAATTTCGAATTAGTCTATTTGGTTGATCAGTCTGCAGAATCTTCAACATAGGCGTGCCTTTTTCAAGGAACTCTTGTTTATAAGTTATTCTTTGTCTGTTTTTTTTTTTTTAAAACTGTCTTTCACTGTGTATGTCTGGCTGAATTTGCTAACTTGCTACTCACACCCTCTAGCTCATGAAGATCTGCCTGTCTCTGACTCTGGAGTACGGGTATTAAAGGCATGCACCCCCAGGCCCAGCCTCTGTTCATAGTTTTTAACTGAAACCCATGTGGGAGGACCCTTATCCCACCCATAATCATCAGTACTCTGGTACTCTGTCTCTTATCCTTAGGACCTGACTTAACATTTGACAGAGGCATTGGTACAGTTGCAGAGACAAGGCAAGACCTTGTCAGAAGTGTTAACTTTATCTGTTACCCATCGTTTTCCTGAGAAGGTCAAGACAGCTTCCTTTTAAGGGATCTGCTTATCCTATGGATTCCATTTACAGTCACTCTCTGGTAATTCCTTTAGGCAAAACAGAAACAAAATAACAATCAAAACCATAATGTTATTATTTCAGAGCAGTAGGTCAGAGGTTTAAGAAAATGATTGCAGGTATGTTATGTAAATGAAATTGCTGGACAGAGCTCTAGCCCCAGGAAATTTAAAGTAGTGGAGGGCATGCTCTCAATTTGTGTCCTGCAGTGTGCAGTAAGAGGCAGCCTGAGCTTTTAGCTTGATGTCCCTGACTTTTGTCAACCAGCCATTCAGTATTAATACTCTATAATAGCAGACATGGTTTTGAAATTTCCATGGAAGTGATTCCTCGGTGTCAGCAGTCCTCCAGAAAGCTCGAAAGGAGGCACTTAGAGTCACTAGTTCTGATGAAATAGACTTCACTAATATCTAATGCAGGCTGATGAAGTCTGGGCACTCTGCTTTGCCTTCAGTGCTTCAGCAGCTTTCTACAGCATTTCTGCTCGTGTTGTTTTCTTTCTGGATTCTCACAGTTAAGCCATACTAGCTGTGTAGCCTGACTTGGCCCCTTGTGAAACTGACCAGTGCTGCACTGAACATGTTTTCCCATTAGTTCCTTGGTGCCTGGTGAACTGGTTAAGCCATGGCACTGCTTTCTTTTCCATTGCTGCTCATTCCCCAGTGACAAGCATCAGGCAGCTCCATTAGAAAGCCCGCTTGTCACCATAGGAAAGGTAAGATGAAAACTGCTAATACTCACTGTTTGATCAGATCTGGAGTCCTAAAAAATGATGATTATAGTCACAAGGCCCTCCATGAGGAATAATCCCATGTAACTCTAAATGTTTTTAAAATGCATTTGTGTGCTGTCACTGAGTCTTCCTATGAGGAAGAGACAAAACCCCTGGGCAGAAGGTAGGAGATTTGAACCCACAGTGATTATATTACTAGGAGGACTAGTGACACAGAGAAAGTGGCAAATTAGAGGCTTCATCTAGGTCTATTTCTTGCCCAGCAGTTAGTGGGCTGGTAAATGTGGCTGAAGTACAGACAGTGCAGTACTTCACATTGCATGCATTTCACGTTCTGTCCTGTTTGACCCCTGCTATCTATATAAATCTCACTGTGTTGTTAGCGTCCTACTCAATCAATCCTCTATACTAAATCACTAAATCAGTACAGATTTTCTAACATCTTAGCCTGGAAGAACCCATGTGTGAAATCCAGCAGGCATCAGAAGATCATGAATATTGCTGTCTTCTGCTTCCATTGTTGTTGAAAGCAGTCCTTGATTCTTTGCATCCATGTGGTCCCTCACACCATTCTTATTTGTTGCTGGTTGTTGTGTTTTTGAGAGAGGGTCTCATGTAATCCTTACTGGCCTCAAACTTGCTATATAGCAGAGGATGACCAGATCAACTCCTCCATGCCTCCCCCCCATTTACAGGTGTGGACCACCATGCCCAGATCCATATATCCCTCCTTGATGCTACTTTTCTCCTTTTCTGAAAATATCGGATGGTCTGCAAATGGATGCTCAAGACACTTCCCTCCTCAGTAGAGAACTAAGACCGGTGTTGAACTGAAAGCTTCCTCCTATGGAAGCCATGAGTGCTGCCTCTCCTGAACCCAGAATTACATCTCTGGGAATTAAGAACATGGCCTTCATGTTCAGGATGAAACAGTCAAGATACTGATGGTAGCACCAGGGGGTTGGCAGCATCAAAATGTGTCAGCATTTGACATAAGATCTCTGAGTTTTTGGAGATTAAGAAAATAAAAGAGATTAGTGGAACTCATTTGAACCCTGGAGAAGTAGAAATCCAGATCCAGTACCTGTCTGTATTCACTCACTGAGTGAGCTGTGGCCTTCAGCTGCCGAGTCTTATGTTCCTGGGCTAAATCTGCCAGTAAGCGTGACCCTTCAGCCTGATCATTCAGGATTTGGGTTTACCTGGCTCAGCTTTTCATACAGTTCAGAGCTTACAATATGTACCAGTTATCATCTGCAGTAATACTTTATGCTTTCACAATTTGTGGCTCATTTTAATTTCTCATGTAACTCAACCTTATTTCCTAGATCTGGCTTCCCCTGGCTCCCCTTCCCATTTCTTCTACCTTGGCCAAAGTGCTTTCCTGGGTTTTGTGGTACAATCTCTTTGCTATGATTGGTTTCTGATCTTGAAGCATCTTCCATTGTCAAATGCCCATAATTCCAATGACCTTTAATACTCAGCCCAGAACTACTTTGTGTAGATCTCATCACACAGAAGTACTTAACAGGATTTTGATATGTACCAGCTCCTGTTGAGTCAAGGTTTAAGGGATCCAGCATCCCAGGCAGCACCTCTAAGAACTTGCTTACAACACAGCAAAAGTGCTTTTGTCCTTAGTGGCCAGGTAGTCTAAGCCTTGGATACCTGAAACTCTTTTCATGTACCCTTCTCATGGCTCATTTATCACCTTGCTCCTTTTTCCATATGTGACACCTTTTCTGCTAGAAGAGAAAACTTGCACTAGAGTTCTTTCTGTCTCCCCTGGGGTTTTTTAGAACAGTTCTCTACAGAGAATGTTTGTGTGATACTATTAGTTAATGGAGTTATGTGATTCATATCGTCTTAGGCTAGAACATGAAATCCACCAGCTGAAACAGAAGATCTGTGAGGTGGATGGTGTTCAGAGACCTCATCCTGGGACCTTAGAGGGGAAGGCTGCTCTTTCCAGCTTGCCGCCCAGGGCTGAAAACTCTCACCTTGCTCCACTGATGGATGCCAGGTACTCAACACTCAACTGATGCCATGCTTTGCTTTGATTCCACGTAATGACTTATTGTACCCATATTGGCTAGTTTGCCTACGGAGGGATTTATCAAAACCAACAGTAATGCTATGTGTGAGATGTGTCCTCTGTCTTCGTCAAGCTGCTGCCTGGCCAGTAGCTGGGTGAGTAATAGTGTGAAGAGAATCAAGGATCTAAGAACTGGTCAGCCAAACCAGAGAAATCAAGCTTCAAATAGTTTGTGTGAGATGGTAGAATTAAAAGGTGCAAAGAAACCAACTCATCCAGAACAAAGTGCTGCAGAGGCCAGGTTGGAAGAACCAGGTTGGAGAATTAATTGAATTTTTCCATGGGGAAATATCTAACGGAGAAACCTTGCAGTCTGGATTTAGGAGCTCAGCTTTTAGTTATCAAAGTGTGTTCAGAATGGCATGATCCACTATATCCTTTTAGTATAGGTCTGCGTTTTCCATGGGACCAGTTCAAAAATGTCCATGAGGTTGAAGAGGTCATCTTAAATGGCCATGAATCATGGCCAATTGTACATGATTTTAGTTGCAACACTGAAAGTTGAATATTGCCATTTATTTGGGTTACTCTATTGAAATATTAATATATTTACCCGGCATTTTAGAAAAGTGTTTCTATATTGGTCAACAGGACAAAACACTGATAAGATTTTGCAAATATTTTCAAGTACTTATTTATTGAGCATATGAAGGCATGAACATTAAAATAATTTAATTTAAAATAACACATCTAGTGCTAGGGAGATAGCTCAGCCAGTAAAGTGATTGCCTCATAGGCTTCAGACCCAGATCCTGGGACCCTTGTTAAAAATAAAAACAAAAACAAAGCCAGGCATGATGTGTTAATCTATTTAACATTTATCAATAAAAATTAGAAGTAAGATATCGGGGTAAAAACCTGAAAGATCAGAGAAGCAGAGGAGGAGCCACCATCGCTTCCTACTGCTGCCGTTCATCCACCCAAAAGGGGCAAGATCCTCTCTCAGCCTTGCCTGCCATGTCCCGTGTCCTCTCTCACTCCAAGCAAGCTTTATCTGTTGGAGCACAATCAAAATCTCACACAACCGCTTGGGTCAGCTAGTGGCTAGCTCTGCCCTCTGACTCCAAGCAAGCTTTGTCAAAACACAATCAAAATATCACACAGCACAGGCATAATGAAACATTTGTAATCCCAACACCAAGGAGACAGACATGAGTGGATTCCTGGCCAACTATCTTAGCCTACTTGTGAAGTTCCAGTCCAGTAAATGACCCTTTAAGAATGAATGACACCTGAGACATGGCAACCTCCAAGGTTGCCCTCTATCCTCTACCACATGTGCATCCTCCCACACATGAACATGTATAGATATCAAATACACATATGCAATGTATGAATGAATGAATGGGAGGGAGTGAGGAAGGGAAGACAGATGAACCCATATGTGGAATTGGAGGATGCTATCCTATACTTAAGTCTTAATTACTTTGTACAGTCTGAGCTACTAGAAGTTATTATTATAATTGCAATATGTCTCTCATATGTATCTCCCTGCTCTCCTTCAAATTCATAGCCTATTTTTCACTAATTGTTATTGTATTCATATATGTATATAATATATATTCCTAAATATAACCTGTTCAGTCTGTATAATGTTTCTTGTATGTATGTTTTCAGGGCTGGCCTTTTGGCACTGAACAACAAATCAGTGTGCTGTTTTCTGGTGAAGACTATATCTCTCCTTCTCCCAGCTCTCCTCAGTTGCCTATAGTTCTTTGTAGGGTTGAAGTCTCATGGGCTTTTTCCCCCATCCACTTTGGCATGTCTATTGGTGACAGCCTTGCTCAGCTCATGCTTGGGCAGTCATGTTGGTGAGATTTTATGGGTGTAGGTTCTGATGATACTAGGAAACACAATCTCACACCAAGCTGATCCCTGGCTTTTACAATATTTTTGCTCACATCTTCCAAAATGTTTCTTGAGGCTTAGCTATAGGAGTTTTTTGTAGATGTATCTATTGGGACTAGGCCCCACAACTCTTGAGTTTGATTGGTTGTAGTTTTCTGTAATGGTCTGTGTCAGTTGTAAAGAGAAGTTTCCTTGATGAGGTGAAGACTACACTTATCTGTGGTATGAACACAAATATTTAAAATGTAGTTAGAGATTATTATAGTTTAGTAAATTAGTGGTAGTAGATTTTTCCTCCAATAATCATGACTTCACTACCACTAGGTAGTTAGCTATGTATCCAGTACCAGGCATGATTTCCCTCTTCTTGAATGAGTCTTAAGTCTAATTAGAGAGGTGTTGGTTACCTCCATGTTATGTGTGCCTTTGGGGTTATATTGCAGTGCTGGTGCACCATAGTGTTTCATAGACATCATTACTGGAGTTATTGGTTACCTCCCTCCATTGGAAATTTGTGTGATGCCTTCTAATACCATGAAAGCTAGTCTTCAGGAGGGGGCATTTGGGTCAGTTTCCAGCTCAGGGGTCTCTGGGATATGTTTCAGAAGTACATGGTATCTTCATCAATAGGGATTTGCCTTCCATCTCTGAGGGGCAACGAAGTACAACAGCAATAGGTTGTATGATTTGGGTGTCTCTTGCACAGCCCTGGCTAATAACTCAGATGAGGGCTTTTCATGTCTGGTATTGGTGTTTTTGTTAGGTAGTCTTGGCGCTTGGTGGGAGCTCCATCAGCCCAATGGCCACATGTAGATAACCTAGTTAAGAGTTACAAGATAGGCTAGGAGAACACAAGACATTGTTTCAGATGAACAGTCAATATTCATAGAATATGTCTTCTACCTCTTTTTGATTTTTAGTAATCATCACAAATGGCCTTGTGTGTTAGGGTACCTTATCATTGTATCTTCCTTTTCCAAATGAGGAAACCCAGTGGTCTATCTGACAGTGGAATCTGTGAGGACAGAGCCTCTGACATCCATGGCTGTGATTTGCCTTTACTCTGCAATGTTCTGTTGAAGATAAGATCCAGGAAGTGTTTCAATAGAACAGCCTACTCTCCATTCAGTTTGAGTTTCCTCTTATTTATTTATATATACAATACTGTCTCAAGTGGGAAAGCCCAGAGAGTGAATGCATAGTACCAGACTTCTTAGAAAGAAGAAACTAGTTTGGAAGTATTTATATAGAATAAATAAAACAAATATCAGGATTTTCAAGTCATGATAAGGCTTTGCTTTTTGTTTTCAGTTTTTCTAAATAGCACACATGAGAGAAAAGATAAGATGTTTCTCTTTCAGAGTCTGGACTACTTGACTTAACATGATGATCTCCAGTTCAATCATATATGTACATACATGATGTGACCCCTATTGTATGGGGCATGTTGGAAATGTACATAGTGACCATGTGTGGCAGTTAGATGTATTCAAAGCTGTCTAATTTCCATGGCTTTCAGGATCAGTGCTTACATTGAGGAAGAAGTCCAAAGACGCCTTCATGATTTGCACAGGACGATTGGTGATTCTGGCCACACACCTGCTGATGTGATAAAGGTGAGCTAAAGGAACCAGGTTACACAGTCATTACTGTTGCTTAATGAAAAGTCAGACATGGAATGTTCCAGAAACAGCACTAAATGTCAAATGGATAGAGCTGAATAGTTTTTATATAGAATTAATTGAAGAGTAGCTTATTTTACAGTTTTGTAATTCTAAGGAAACATTCACTTAATACACATTGTTAAGGTTCTTAACATTCTTTATTTGCTTTGATTTCTAAAAATTCTATGTGTAATGTTTTCTATTTTTCCCCAAATAAAACCAATTTCTATAATATATAATTTACTCTGTAAGTTATTCCAAGTAGACATATACTTATCTACTTGAGATGTATGTTTTTAAGTTGATTTTTACCAAATGACAGTTTATATCTTTTGTATTAGCAGATATAAATTTTACAAAATAATGTTTTTATGATACTTTTGTCCATACATACAAGATAATTTTACATATTAAACCATCACCCTCTTTCGTTCCCCACCCCCCTTGTTCTTCATCCACATCCTTAATGCAAATCCTTTGCATTTCTTGTGTTTTCATGCCCTGAGAGAGGGCTTAATCTTTCTTTTCTTTTTCTAATGCCCATTCAAGAAAAGAGACTTGATACCTCTTTTGGAATGAGGATTGTTTTATATAATTTGATGATCTATTTCATCCATTTCCCTGTAAGTGACAGTTTTGCTTTTCTTTACGGCTGAATGAAACTCCATTATGCATATGCTTGTGTGTGTGTGTGTGTGTGTGTGTGTGTGTGTGTATACATACACACATATATCACATTTTCTTTATCCATTCATACAGTGATGAGCACCTCTCTGGTTTTCTACCTTGTTTAATATGAATAGTGCTGCATAAACATGACCATGTAGGTTTTTCTGGTCCATGAAGACTCTGAGTACTTTAGATGTTCTCTCAGAAGCATTACATCCGAGTCATATAGGACCTGTATGGGTAGTTTTGTTGGGTTTTTTGTTTTTGCTTTTGAGGCACTGTCATATAACTTGGATGCTAAGGAAATCTTGATTTAATTTTGTTATTTAAATTTAACATTAGAAGTTAGTGGTTCAGTTCTCTCTCCTGCAAATACATCAGTAAGAGATTTGTTTACTTTGTGAATGTAAAAGTGGTTGAAAGGTTGTCATTTTTGAATGACAGGTATTTTTCTTTAGAATTTTGTTCCCATAAATACTTGTAATGGAATCAGTTTTTCTCCCCTCTGTGAGCATGCTATAATTTAATACAGAAGGCTTTTCTCTTCTTCTCAGAGTAACGAGGAACTTCACAATGGTGCCATTCAACGTAAGCTAAAATATGAGGTAGGTAGTGATTTTTCAGATTAATAGGGTTGCTTAAATTATGGCATGCTTGTGTGATTAAATTTTCTTAATGTTTAGTTGCATAATTAGAATTTTGAAGTCCCAGTGAGATTAATGGCTAATAGAGAAGGCAAACTATTATATAGACGTAAAATTAAAGGGAATCCTGCAGGCCTAAAACTGCTTTGGCTTTATTTGAATGGCCTGTATCTGTGCCCAGTTTCTCATTAGCAACAGTATCCTTTCCCTTGGTCTGCATTTAAAAGGAAGTTATATAATCAGGATCAGAAAGGAGGGGAGGATGAAACTGAGAACTTCTCAATGTTTTTAAAAACCTGTTCATTTTATAGATATACAGTTGGCAGTGGTACAAAGAAAACCTTTGATCAATCACAGCTTGTCTTGTCTCTCTGGTGGACAGATGCTACTAGAGCATACAATTGGTAAGAATTTACTTGTGTTTTCTTCCACCAAGGAGAATTAATTCTCATATAGCCCAAGTACTTTTTTAATTGCTAGGTGATAGAAATCTGCCCACCATATCTACTGTCCATTACTGAGCAGGGAGCAGAAGGGTGGGTGTTCATGGTTTCTTGAATCATTTGGACCACACCTACTCCCCCTGCTAGTCAGTCAGTATTGACATTAGCTTATGGACATCCTTCTAGTGGGTACCTCTAGCAGAGCCTGAAGCTGCCTTTTATTTCATTGTTTCCATGGCACCTGACAAATTATAGGATGCCACAAGCCTTCCTTAGTGAAGGTTTGTAAGTATCAGCAGTGGTATTCTAATTAGGGTGAAGATGATTAAAGACTCACATGAAATGAACCCAAAACAAACAAACAAAAAGATGGGCATATTTGTACATACGGTCATACAGATACCAATCTTTTAAACAATGAATCAAAAGTTTGGCGATGTACTTCAAAGAAAATGCAATCATAGACCAAGAAATGGATACTGTGGAGTAATCAATCCTACATGGTGTGCTTCTATCAAAATACCTAGTGATTTGTTAGACTGTGTGAGATGGGAATTGATGTTCTATATATGAATTAATCATCTGTTCTTAAATCAAATATCAATCAACACAAATGGCTTAGGCTTTCTATCTCACCTCTCAATTAATCCACTCCAATGAAACCAATGGATGTGAAACTCGCCATGTGCAAAAGAATCCCAGACCGTAAAAACACACCCCCATTTCAACCTCTTTTGACATCCTAAACAGAAAAGGCAGCCTTGGTCTGCACGGTGTGTTACCCCACTTCTGTCCAAAGATGACACTGATTCTCCCAGCATCCTTAGAGAAGAAGAGTGTGAGATAGATCGGAGCAGCCACTGGAGCCATCCAGTGTCACAAAACACCTCACTCCCTACAACTTTCTCCATGTTGAAGAACACTGGTGACAAACTTTGTTACCTTGGGAGCTCTGGCCAACTTGAACCAAAATGTGTTCATCTGCCTGAAATCATTTTTCTTAATGGGAGAAACACTAGAGATGCACAGAAATCTCAGAGTGGATCAGAAAATGGCAATGGGCTGATGACTCATGAAGAGAAACAAAACTGGGGGATCGAGTCCAGCTGGACATTGCTGCAACACATGTCCCAGCAAGTGCCAATTAAAGGAGGAAACCAACAAGCGATGCAAAGCAGGGTGCAGTGCTTTGTTCTCTCCGAAAGCAGTTCTCAAAAGGAGCATCCCACTGGCAGCTCTCCTCAGGCAGCATCAGCCTCCACATTGTGTTGTGAGCAACAGAATGAGAAAGACTTAGATGCTGAAAGCACTGGCTCTCTAGTTCCACTAGTCAGTTTTAGGGTGGAAGCAAAGAAGGGACTGGGATATTTTTACCACAAGTTCTCAGACCTGTATAAAGACACCAGTGGCCACCTGATACAGGCTGGGACAAAAGTAATGAGCCACGCCAAGCATGTGGGGAGTATGTGTGACTCAGGTGGGCTGGCCTCCCAAGTGACAACCTTCATCAGAGGCCTGCCATTACTGGAGCACTTACCCGTACACCTGCCTGTGAGGTCACTCATGATGCCATTAGGTCCTCCTCTTCCTGAAACTCAGATTGGTACCCTCATCAGTGAAGGTGGAGGGAGCCCAAGGTCAGACAAGACCACAGCACCTTACACAGACTTGGCCTTCACACCTTCAGGCTCACCAGATTCCGGGCCAAGTTCAGTTTTCTGTCTTGATTATGAAGATGCTGGGAAGATCAGTGCATTTAAGCAGACCCTTGTATCATTCCCAGAGCAAATTCTGAGACTTCAAGAGTACCCTCTCACAGACCTCCTTGAGCACATGACTTGTTCTCTGCCAGAGCCTTTGGGCATGGCAAAAGCAGTCAAAGGCATTTACTGGCTTGCAGTTGCTAACTGCGCCCAGCCTGACCCCCAAGCTGCATGCTTGCTCCTGCTGCCTTCCACTCTGTATGCTCTGGTCCTGTTAGATAAGTGCCCAGAATCCATGAGCATCTTTCATGTTCTCCCTCTCTCTGCACTGCAAGAGATTCAGGTGGGCTTTGGAGGGCAGAGCATTCGATTCCTGGGCTCCACACAGGACCTCTTACTTACTGTGCTCACTTACAACAAGAGCCTCTCTCAAAAACTCTGCCAGGACCTCCTGGGTGTGCTGATGGGTGGGTCTGGAGCGGCTGCCCACACAAGTCACCCTTTACTCCAGCAGGATCTTGTTCAGCTTTCTCTTGACTTGGAAGCAGAAATCCCTGCTTTAGCTTTGGCAAATGGAGTTCAGCTGACTTCCAATTTCCAGACAACCTTGGTAGATATGGTTTACTTTATTCATGGAAATATGGAGACCAGTGTTCCTTCTCTGGCTGAAGTTCAGTTACTGCTGTATACCACAGTCAGACTGGAGAGTGAAGGCAGTTGCAGCCCCTGCCCATCATTCATCCTCCTGAACACCCACATGGCACTCTTGAGGGAGGACCGTGTGTTTTACCCCCACACTCCCTCTCTAAACACACTTCCTCCACATGGGCGATTTGACATAATTAGTTGCAAAGCTCTGAGTGAATTCAAGTGTGTCATTGTTCCAGAGAAGGACAAAGTGTCAACGGTAGAGCTGGTCTTCCTAAGGAAATGTGGGCTTCCCTTGAACACAGGAAGTGGTCTATCCAAGCAGTGTCAAGCTGCCTCAAACACCCAGATGCTCACTCCATTGTGTCTTCAAGATGGGCAGAATCAGGAACTCGATGTCTGGAAAGTCACTTTCAATTCTCAGGATGAGGCTCTTTGGCTGACCTCATACTTGAGAAGACTTTAGCATGGAGTGGAGGGGGGGGGGGGCGCTTTTAAAGATACAGGGCATTTTCTTTTAGACCTTTAATAAAATGAACATTATGAAAACAGTTAAGAAAATATGAATATCTCAGTGTAGTTAATCGACGGGGATGAAGCAGGACTCTAAAATTGGAAGTGCAAATATTTTGAATAAAGCAAAATGAAAATAGCTTATAGCAAAGAACTGGAAAATTATACTTTTTGCCACCTGCTTCATTGTCTTGAAATTTGGACTGTAAATTTGTATCTACCCAATTATTGACAAAGTGATTAAAGCATTCTGACTGCTTGGCTTGGTGCCCGTTTATGGTGTGGTGGCTTGGAATCTGGTGGTGCCTGCTGGCATCCAGTGGACTAATCTGTGCTGACTGGGAAGGAGCCCAGTCTGGCAGTGGCCTTCCTTGGCACCCTCCATGCTGGCCCTGAGTAGCACATCTGTGAGGCAGAGTACATACTGCGTTCTCTACTTCCTCTGCCCATCCCCCACTCACAACTTTTACCACATTCTCCTTCTTTCTCTGAACTTTCATATTTTTATCCTAGAAGTCCTTTGTCTTGTTGTAAGGTTTCTATGGATTATTTCTGTTGTCTTGTCAAATGTCTAGTTGCCTTAGATGACATTCAGCACTCTGCTGTGTCTTCCATTCTTCCTGCCTCTTGACTAGCCATCACTCAGGTCCTCTATGACAGGTATTTTTCTGGCCTGAGGTAAATTTGCAACTGTCCACACATGCTATGTTCTTCATTTACTTCTGTGTGACAATTGTATGAACAACCAGAAAACATGTTTTGAGTTAATTTATATCATTAAGTTACTTTACCATTGTTCTTTCTCTTGGATGTATGTCCACTAAATTCCATAGTCTCAGAAGCTGGTGCATGGGAGAGACCTCTTTTCTCTATTTACTCACTTTCTTCTCTCGGCTGGGCCCAGGCTCAGCACTCTGTGTGCAGTTGAGTGAGTCCCTGACTTCATTAAACCACTCACTTTAGTTTTGACCTGGAAGGGCCCTTCTATTCTGGTCATATTTTTGGCTAATGTAACATATAAATATGGGCCGTTCATTTCTGCTACAAACTGATGATAGGGTGAGTCAAAACCTAACCCACCCAGAAACCTACCAACTGCTTTCTTCACAATTGCCAACTGAGAGCGATGGGCTATTCAAGCGTTTTTACATTTCCATATGTTTTGCTCTACCCAGATTCTGGGGAAGTGAACAGGCAAACACAGAACTGGAGAATGTGTTGTGACCTAGCAACCTTGTTTTCTGTGGACCACTGGCAGGCGTTTTGTTTTCCAGCCAATTGATTTCTCTTATTTGGGCATGGAATGTGTTTTTGTCACTTCCAAAAACACTTGTCTCCTGATCGACACTTACCTTGCCTTATACCCAAAGGCTTTTAACTATATAGTGAACATTGTGAAAATTACTACCCTCTATCTTGGGGGGGGGGAACCCTGAAATATACTATTATATCTGTGTCATAGCTCATCAATAGCATTTCTCCTAATTCTCATTTTTCACTTAATATAATTTGCATTACTTTTTCTTAAATAGTTCCATTACTCTTTTGACATATATCTTAGATTAAAAAAACAAACAACAACAACAACAACAAAAAGCCAGAATTTATGGTCATGTAGAATTGAGAGTAAAATTGAAGGTGCCCACAGAGGAATGTGATGGTCAGGAATAAGCAGCAATACAAAGGCAATCTGCCATTTTAACAGAGACTGTCTGCCTCAAACAGACTTCCATTATTCTACCATGCTACAAATAGTGGCCTTTAGAGTTTTTTGCTGTATGGAACATAAAATAAATATAATCATTATATAAAATTATGATATTTGTCCTCACATTTTGAGTTGCTGTATGGTTCAAAGAGCTTGAAATGGTAATGCTGTTCTGTTCAGCTCTCACCACAGAGTAGACTCACTTCTAGGGTCTTACTGTGATCATCCCTCACCTAGGCACCCTTTGTACCTAGTTTCATGGGAGCGAGAGTTTGATTGGCATGCCCTATACAATAGGAACCAAGATTTTGTAATATTCCAGAAGCCTGTAGATTTGCTCCCTTGTCCACTATGGCTTCCTTTTTCAGGAGTTCCCACCCTCTGACACCCCCTCCTGCATTAGAGCAGGTATGAGACTATATACTGTATGTAGCCATGGTAACAGCTCAGTTGTGGGCAGTTTCCAGGTCAAGAAAAATGGGTTTTCTATGTACTTTGCTCTCTGGCATTTCGAGCTGTTGGAATAGAAGCATGAACCCACTCATGGTGGGGCTCACTGATATACTCTAGACAGTACCTCTTTGAGAACTTGCAAAGGGAATTTCATCTGAATTTCATTAAAACTCATCTTGCTCACAGCTGCCTGTTAGAGACTTGTACTTGGCAGAGTGGATTTATTTAGACTTGGTTGAAAAGCTTCTCATAACAGTTTGTCCCCACCATCTGAGTTCTTAGAAAATACTCATCTTTCCCTTTGGAAGGGTGCACTTAAGCCTTCCAACAGTGAGGGTTACAATAAATGTGTCTTAACACCCTTATATTGCAGATGCCATATATGATAAATAGATCTGGACCTCTTTTATTAATGGTTCATTGATGGCAAGCCTGTTTTATTGGGTTGAGTAGTTTTTAGTGAGGTCATTTTAGTAACATAGTTATACAGTCCACAGTGTATGTAGCTTCATTCCTCAAAACATTCCTCAAAATGTTTGTTGTTAAAAATGTTCCACCTGTCTGTTACCAAGTATCAAACAACTCTTGAATTTCGGTGGTATAGGAAAGACAAAGGCTTTTATTTGTCACTGCTGATTTGCAAGTCAATGGAAGTGACTCTATTGAAGCCCACAGATTTACCAACATTGAATTTGCTGCTTTCTAACAGGAGACCTTTTTTATCTCTCTACATCTATCGCTGATATATCACTGGCTTCCTTGTTGAGTCGAAGAGTCTTGTCCACTGCAGGAAAGGTGACTGATTCCAAAATAAACAATGCCATTATACTTAAAAGCACTCATAAACCACGTGATATGATGTGGCTCAGTGTCTAGGGTAAAACCAGGTATTCAAAATACAGCCACGTACAAATCAAAAGTACAGTTGTGAGACATTATGTTGGTTTTTCTTACTGCCCAAGACTAACATATTTTTAGGAGAATGTTAGGAACCTTTCACAACTATATCTGAGAATTCTATATTTCTCATATAACTGACCTCATAAAGTAATTAAAATAAAACTACCCTGCAGCAATGGCTTAGTGAAAATATATTCATTTTTATTTATTTTTCTCTCTGCATTATACCTCTGTTCAGACATCTTCAGATCTCTGCTGATGTACTCCTGATGTGATCAGGTGCATTCGGGGTGGTATGGTCATAGACCCTTATTCATTTCTGTTGTAGTTTGTTTCTATATGCTCATTAATAATTTGTTTGATATGAAAGCAGTGAGATTGAAATTATACCCACGTTCAATGATGATAGCAGTAGCTTGGAAATATTCCCCATCTCCAGCATACTGAGAAATGAGGCGAGGATCTGCCATGCTTCAGTGTCTCTTCCTGGTTGAGTGTCAGAAACCACACAGGTCCACATACAATTGTAGGTGTGGGAAGGGTGCCTGTCTTAGAGTTTCTGTGGCCCTGGCAAACAGCATGAACAAAGCCAGCTAGAGGAGGAAAGGATGTATTTCATCTTAAAACTTGTAGTCCATTATTCAGGGAAGTTGAGGCAGGAACTCAAACAGGGCGGGAACCTAGAGGCAGAAGTTGTGGAGGGGTGCTGCTGACTGGCTTGTTTCCTGTGGCTTCATCAGCCTGCCTTCTTACAGTACTCAGGGCCATCAGCTCAGTGATTGGCATTGCCCACAGTGAGCTGGGCCCTCTCACATTAATCAGATACACCAGAGGCTTGCCACAGGCCCAGTATATATGCATGAGGCACTTTCTTGATTAAGATTCCTTTTTTGCCGGGCATTGTTGGTGCACACCTTTAATCCCAGCACTTGGGAGGCAGAGACAGGCAGACCTCTGTGAGTTCAAGGCCAGCCTGGTCTCCAGAGCCAGTGCCAGGATAAACTCCAAAGCTACACAGAGAAACCCTGTCTCGAAAAAACAAAACAAAAAAAAGATTCCTTTTTTTTTTTTTTTTCAGATGACCTTAGCTTATAGCAAGTTGACATAAAAACAAGCCAGCACAGGGCCCTAAGTTGATGGGAGCTGTAAAGATATTTACGTTCCAGCTGATTCTCATACAGCACCCCCTTCAACTCATACACCTAGGAACATTGTCACAGGCGCATAGTTTGTTGTTGTTTTCTCTTCTAGGATGTCTGACCTGAGCCTCAAGCTACCCTGCTTGCATTAGAGATTGGTTTCACAGCTGCATTCTTTAATATGAAAAACTTAATTAGTCATAGGATAGACTGTGGAGCCAGACTAGAGGATTCAGTTCTCTCTCATTTTGAAACTGAACTAGAAAAAAAAGAAAGCTAAGTACTAGAGTAGAGGAAAGGGGAGCCAATCCCCTCACCAACAGTATTAGCAGTTCTTAGTCACTGCTTGGAATTCCACAATAGAAGTTCCTGTTGGCCAAGTTTGTGACCAGTACAGGGTATTTCTCACCATATAGCTTGCAGCATAGACATAGGCACAAATAATCCTAAGACACCATTTTGGGTCTGTGGAAGAGATAGCATTCCTTTACTTGCAAAGTTGAGGTACTACATGTGACATAGAGGGATCAAGGGAAACAAAGCAGGAACCTCAAGGCTAAATATTGACATTTGGAGGTGAGAGCTATTGTTTATCATTAAGCATGTTCTTATAAATGGACCAACTAAATTCTTTTCCCTTTCTGTCTTTAATTTTATAAACATGTAGCATGTCAGGGAAGGTCTATATTTAAAGTAATTTGGGCATGGATGGGCTGTCAGTGAATCAAAGTGATTAGCAGAGCTCATATTGAAAAACACCTCTAAGCATTTCCATTTTGGTTTTTGACATCAATGACAGATAATTAGATATGCCATGTGTCAAACAGTGGCTCTTGTTGTGGGTGACCAACCACCAGGGAAAAAAATTGTGATGCTCTAAAAAGGCTTTGGTAACTTCAGACAGTGCCAACATATCGACTCTGTCAACTAGATTAGAAGCTACAGTCAGAAATTGACCATCTCTGTGACACTCAGTGGTGGTTTGAGGTGTCACAGAGGCAGCCAGGTAGCACCAAACCTGTGAGTACCTGCCTAGACCCCAGATCTCCTTTCTCTCTGGTAAATAGGTAGTATATTGCCCACTGGTTTCTTTTTGGTTAAAACCTTTAATATTATTGCATATTTATGGAGTTTCCAACACCTTGTCTGTGCACGTGTGATGTACTCATTAGCCCGGTTTATCTTAGATGGATGGCCTCACTTTAAAATTGAATATCAGGATAATGTACTAGTGTGATGTTCATACCCACTGTGTTATCAGCCCACTTGCCAACTAGAGCGAGTTTGCACCCCTCCTCATTTGATAGAGTTCATAATTGTTAGCCCCTCATGGAGATGTCATGAAGATCGATAGAATTAATGTATGAAAACTGGTTAGTACACCCACAGTATATGGTAAGTATTTAGCAAATGTAACTATAAGTGTGATTCTAATTATTGTTTTTTACTGCTACTGCTTCAAAAACACATTGTAAACTATGAATATTTGGATATTTCTTCCTGCTTATACTCAAGAACTCATTTTGAAAATTAATTTTTCATATTGCATCTTCCACTGATCCCTCTGGCTTCCTGTCACCCAGAACATAAATACTTGTCATCCAAGTCAATTATCAATCAAGTGGAGCCTAAAGAAAATACTTGAGCTTTGTCTTAATTGTGATTTACACAGATTTCCACACCACAGTGACTTCATTATAAAAACAGCCAAATGTTAAAGATGAATTTGAATTTGAACAAAATGCCCAGGTTTTACAGCTTTATGAACAACAGTCAGATATATGAAGGAAAAAATGTTTAGTTGATAAAGATTTTGCAAAAAAGGAAACTGATTTTTTTTTAAGTTAGAAAGTGCAATCTAATCTGTCCCTATTTTTGCTTGATCTTATAAATTGGAAGGAACTTCAAAGCCAAACAACATTTTGAAGTGTCTTTGCCCTAACTTTCTGGAGTGGTATACCTATAGAAACGGTCTTTTGTTAGGAGAGAGACTTAGCGTGTCTTTTTCAAAGAAAGCCATCATTTCTCTAAATAAACTCCACTGGTTTCATGCTCTTTTCTCTACTCGAGGCGTGTTGTCTCTTCTGGGCAAGCAGGGTATTGGCTGCAGCACAGTGATGCTCCATTCTCTTTGTTCTCCCTGTCTGATGTGCCTTTGATAGCGGATGTATTCTCGTTCTTTGGGAGCAAATCCAGACGACCTGAAGGACCCCATTAAGATTAGTATTCCCCGCTATGTCCTGTGTGGTCAAGGAAAGGATGAACACTACGAGTTTGAAGTCAAGGTAAGTGTTCCTTCTTCACCCTTCCAGAAGAACAGAGGTTGGAAGCTGTGTGGTGCTTCCTCTGTGTATGAAATTACTTTTGGATATTATTTTATAAGACATTGTCATACATGTCTTTAATCCAATCTGTGAAATACTAGACTGTGGCACATGTTGGGGGAGAGACCTGTAAAGATAGGATAATGTCTGGAGGCAGAAATACACAACCCTGCAGGTGGTGCAGAGGGTGTCATCCACCTACCCCAGGTGCTCAGCATTTTCCTGATTTTAGTTCCAGGAAATCAGCATTCACTCATTGCACATGTGTACAGGCATGTGCAAACACACACACACACACACACACACACAAAATCAGGACAAAACTTAACAGTTGGTAACACTACCTATGACATAGGCTTTGGCTCAGTTTTTCTCATCTATAAAAACAGTGGTATCTATGCTGTAGGAATATCATTTCATGTGAAGTCTTGTGTCAAGTGCTAGGATGAAATAAATAATAAATTCTCATAACTATTTGTGTTATCAGTATTGCTGTGTGTGTGTGTGTCTGTCTGTCTGTCTCTGTCTGTCTGTCTGTCTTCTGTTAATTAGAAGCTTTCTTAACCTGTTTTAGGTATTTTATTTATATGACTTTTAGGGAAGAGAGGAGCTTTCCAAAATAGTGACTTCATCTTATTTTTTTTTTAATTTATTTCCATTGACTCATAACACTTAGTTAAATGTTGCTGACTGCCACCCCCTCCTCCTCAGTGAATTAACGATTAATCACATTTTCTTCATTCAAGGATGGGCAAGGTTATTAATGTAATGAAGCCCTCTGCAGTATTGGTGTGTGGGTGCAAAAGGGTGGCCTTGAAAGTAGTTGGTTCTGATAAACACTGGCCTGGGAATCTGGACCCTGAGTTCTATAGACTTTGATTCTGTTGCGGTTTGTTAATAACCTGGACAGTTTTGATCTTCTCAGAGCCTCAGTTTCTTCCTTGGCAAAGTGAGGGAAAGCAGCACTAAGTGGCCTCCAAAGGTCAGTATATCAGAGAAGCTTGTCTGTCCCCAAGGACGTCTGGTAATAAGGGAGTTCACACCGAGCCTGCAAAGCTGGACCTCCTGAGGGAGGAAGCGGTGGGGAAGTGGGGGTAGGGCTAGCCTGCCACTGCCCTTGCCCCTGAGGTGCCCTAAGGGAGCCCTTATGCTCTGGGAGGTTGGTCCTTTTAGGCACACAGTTTCCAGTCCTCCCAGAGAAACAATTCTTACCAGTCCAGGTTTTAAATGCCTGTTTCTATGCACTGAGATTTTCTTTACTAAAATATACAATGGGCCATGATTTATATATTTGAAATTTAAATTATAAAAGCAAGGTGGTGCCAGCATGGTGATGGTTTTCAGTTTTCTTGACTGGCTCCTGTCGTATTGTATTAAAGTCTTAAATTGTGTCTTTGTTCTGTATTATTTCTTATTACCCCTGAAACAATAACACCCCATTCCTGCTCAAATCCTCTTCACTTTTCTCACCATTCCATATTGTATATATTTGTGAGACTGTATAGTTCTGTTTTTTAGTGTGTAACATCATACACATATACAAAAATAACTTCAAGGTTATTTGTAATGTTTCTGCAATTTGAATTCTGGTCTGGCTTTCCCTTGCTCAGAATTATAATTCACCAAAGTTAAAACATGCACTATTTTTAATTGGTCCATGTCTATGCTTTACTTTACTGATGAACATATCAATAAAGCTTAACTACTTATTGACACCATGTATAAATTTCGAGTAAAGAAGACTACTTTTTAAAAAACTGAGTTAATTTAAATTAAACTTATAAGTAAAGAGTATTCAGTTAATATGTATACCTGACCCATACTGTGAAGATGCAACTGCTGGAGAAATTTAGAGAAAGCAGAAGCAGAGGACCACAGGGGCTTCTCAGGATCATACTGTACTTCAGTATATGAAATCCAAATCTCATGACAAGCCAATACTAAAGGCCAGCAGTAATTCTGCCTCCTTCAGTACTTGGCAGTAGGCTCATCAGGACTGGGCTGTTCATGCTGGCCCGCTGGGAGGATTCCTCTTTCTCTATTGGGAAGGTTTCCTGAAGCCTTCACAGGCACCAAGTCAGGACCTGCACTCTGCTGAGGACACTGTTGTAAAGGCATCAGGACCTAGTTTGAGAATCTGGCACCTTAGACCACTCAGCCATCCTGACACTTAGGACCTAGAACTAGAAAGAAGCATTTATGATTCTGCCGTCCCTTTCCAAACAAAGCAAGAACAGACAAAGTCAGGGCTACTCTAGTAGCTCTGGCTGTGTCAGTGTCCTACAAAACTTTTCTAACCTCAGGCCCTATCATCTGCATAATGTGGGCAATGAAACCCAACTGACTGGGTTTCTGGTTGTTGTGAGGAGTAAGTGACCTTGCATTTCTAGCTACTGCATACAGTGTCTAATGCTTCCTAAGTTCTATGTGTACTTGTTATTAAAATGAAATAAAAACAGACAGGCTTGGGGAATGCATGGGATGCTGCTTTTAGAGCCCCTCTGTGATTTTTTATGTGCAATGTCTTTATGAGGCTTGGGGCTTTCTTTGTGGTTGGGTGCTGTCTACAGTATCCTGATACTTACGGAAAACTCACAGAAACTAAATCTACCAGTTGCCACTTGTTGGTAAAATCTTTGTAGACTTTCCTTATGGGGAACATATATTAATTCTGTGGGTACTCATGAAAGAAAAATAATATCATTGAAAGTTTAAAAAATGATTTTGAGTTTTTCTTTATAAAAATTTACATTGAAGATCTAATGTTAAAGCAAGTTACTATCTAGAACTTTTTCAGAGTCCCCAACTTTTTCTGCCAGCTATTTGAGTATGTCATGCACATGCCATGTCGTCTAGTCTAGTCTCACAGCTGATGATACTGTGCTACTATTAAATTATCTTGGTGAGCCAAGTGGCTTCAAGAAAGCAAGGACTATTGATTTGATTTTTGATAAAAAGACAATTCTCTTTACTTTTAGGCTTTTAATTTAAAAATTGGTGTTTGTGTGCATGGATAAATTATTATGGTTTATGCTTTAGAACAATCATTGCTGCTTCTTTTTCAAAATTTGTTTTTATTTCCACCTCCATTCCCCAATGGTATCCAAGACCCTCTAGGGCTGTGTGTGCATGGCAAGCTCTCAGGGGCTTGATCCTCTTGCTGTGGAGCCCAGTTTAAAGCATGACTTGCTGCTGGTCACTGACCATTTCATGTAGGCCATTTCACATATCATTTCAAAGATGTGCAAATACCGAAGGCCCAGCCACTACATATCTTGACTTGAATGCCTGAGAAGAGGGCAATTATAAAAAAGAATCATCATGCTACTACATCCATTAAGTGAGAAATGAACCCCTGCTCTGCAGTTGGTTAGAGCAGTATATGAGTTCAGGTGTGTGAGTGCTTGAGCCATACACGCCTTGGCTCCTAGTATCCTCCTCTTAACATCCTTTATCCTTCCACCTCCAGCCAGTTTCAGCCCACCCTTCATCGGAGGATTTGATAGTCCTTTAAGATCCAGTAACTCCCACTGGAGTGCACTGTAAAGTGAATTAGTGAAGAGTGTTCTGGGATCCAGAGAAGGTTAGGGGAAGCCCAGATGCTCCTCACCTCAACTCCTATGTGTCCCAAGGAAGTTTCCATTATTGATCTTTAAAATGAGAATAGGGCTTTTCATTAAACTAGAATTGGTTTAATTCAAAAGAACTATTTTATATCTGCTGTATTTGGAAGGACCAGACCAGGCTTGTTTTGTGGGAAAGCTGAAAATTGGGAAGTAGATATGTTTGGTTTTTGTCTCATTTAATTTTTCAACCACTTTGTGGAAGCTTCATGTACATGAAGCAAAATGTACACACTGTGGGAGGAACTCCACAAGCCACATTGTCTTCTGGGTATGACTACTTTGACAGGGTCTGCTTTTGGAGCTTCATCCCAGGAGGTGGTTGGTAGTCATTGACTATTTTGGTGAATAGCAGCTCACTGTGTGGACCTACTCAATTTGTGTATGTCTCTTATTGCTGCTTGCTTTCCTGTTATTTCCTGAGAATTCCTGAAGTTTTCCTCTCCATGATGTGCACCATACTCTTACTAATCTTTGGAGGGCACCTGCCTGGGAACCCTGAGTCACAGAGTTCATTCTGTTTCATTGGAGTTACCCATTCAAGGAGTTCTAAAAGTATATCCCCCTGTGGCTGGATCCTCAGATACATAATGAAGAATCTGTGGCTGGCAGGTAGCACAGAGAGGCAGGAGGTTGAAGGAGGGCCAGCCTGGCTCCTCTCAATCAGTTGCCTCAGTAATGTCACTCCCTAGACTACAACTGTCACCACAAACTCTTTCAAAGTTTCTTAGTGATTGATGCAGAAAATCAATTACCTTGAATCATGCTTGCCATTTTCAGTTAGCTGGGATCAGAGTGGATGCAATTTAATTTTAAAATCACATTTCAGCATGATACAGAACACCAGCCAGGGAAATCTGTAGTTAAGGCTAACAGAGGATGTCATACTCATTTGTCTTAGAAATAATGACATTTTAAAGGCCTTGTATTTGAATGTACATGTCAACACAGTAGTATAAAGAAATGAGCAAATGCTGGTATATATTTTGTCATTTTGTTTCTTGAATTTTTGTTAATATCACAAGTCACTATCGCCTTTCTTTCTGGAATGGCCTTTTGCAGTCTGTTCTCTCCAGGCTCCATCCATAACCCAGGGTCCACTCTGCTGCTGTGCCTCAACTTGGTCAGTTTTTTCCCAAATGCCATTGTCCCATCTATTGCAGGTCTCCCGGCGGTTTCAGCTGACCTGACTTTTCTGATCTTAGAGATACCCGAGTCTCCATGCCCCATGCGGTGCCTGGCTGGTAATAGTCATCAAATAGGGATAACTCAGCAAGTGACACATTGTGAAGCTCAGAACTACAGGCGTGATTTAAAAACCCTTTGTGCTGTTGTAGT